AATTAGTTGATTTAGTAATTATAACAAAAGCTGATGGGGAATTAATGCCAGAAGTTCGTCGTCTACAAACTGATTGGTCAAGTGCTCTTAGATTAATGCGTCGTCGTTCACCTAATTGGAAACCTAAAGTAAATATATTCTTCTTTTTTACTACTTGATCACTAAGTTGAATTAATTATCAAGGTCTTATCAGTTTCGTCACGTACAAATACTGGTATTGATAAATCTTGGGCACAAATGTTAGATTTTGAAACTGCAATGATTAACTCAGGTGAATTTATGACTAAACGTTCTCAGCAACTTCGAAAATGGATGTGGAATAATGTAAAAGATCGAATACTTGAACGATTTTTGGCTGATGAGAATATACAAATAGCAATTCAAACGTACGAACAACGTGTTATTCGTGGACTTATAACACCATTTGTAGCTGCTGATGCTGTATTGGCTCTTTTTGCCAAAGTAAAAACGGACAAAAATACATAAATATATCTAAAAATATGTAGTCATGCAATCTTCATTTATTTATTTATTTTTTGTCAAATTAGAATTATCTTAGTATCAAATAACGATATACTAAATTCAGCTCGATTATTAGAGAAATTCAGAAAAATGCATTTTTTTTTCTTAATATCTCATTTTATTAATAAATATAAGTCTCAAGTATAACAAACAGAAATTATATATAAATAAAATCAAAGATTTTGAATATTAGACAACATACACACATCAATCACTATTAAATTGTATTCCGATCTCCTTGATATTGCGAATTTCTAAATAGTTTGCTCAGTAATCTAATAGTCGGTGACTCCAACTGAAGCATTTCAACTACGAAATTCGTATAATATTTTTCATCTATTGACTCACATGCTATTTCTTAAAATACACTTTGCTGTCCAAAATGGTACAACCATAGTGTTATCTACAGTCATACTGCTTAACATTACATCATTTTGCTGATTGAAACTCTAGAAATGTAGTTTGATCTAAATGCATGCTGTTAATAAGTATTTTTTAACGAAAAGGCATACGAGTAAGTCGTTATATAATGTATCAAGTACTCATAGAAAATAAAGCTTTTCATGAGAGAATTTTTGAACCAAGCCAAAAATTTCTTGAGCTGAAATTCCTACATTCCATTGAATCTTTCATATAGATTAAAACACTATAACCTTGTATAATAAGAGGAATGATTAATGTAAATTCAATTATAAGCATATTTTCTAACAAAAAATTATTTATTGAATTTCGTTAATATAAAAATACACCAATCTGTATTATATATTCATTTATGCAAATAAATAAACGACAAAAATAATATCAAACGGACAGAGAATGTTAACTTAATGTTATTTGTAACCGATACAAGAAAAATATATCTAGACAAGTATCTTAGTTTCATTTATTGTTCATTCAACACTTAATATCAACTAATATCGGTCTCAGAGTTAAGAAAGAATGGACGTCACTCAATAACTTGACAACGGCAACAGCTAGTAAACTTGAGTTTTCAGCAATCGAAAGAGAAGAAATTAAGACGTTTTTTTATGATATTAAATAAGGCAAAATTATTTTAAAATTCAGATAAATGGTGTTCAGTCTCGATATAATTTTGATTTGGATAAGTGTTTGAGACCTATGGTTCATTACACGATTCAGCTAATTATCTTCTCATATCTCTGTGTTGAACACACGAAATCACATGTCTATTCGAAATGGAACATTGTTTTCATGTTTGTTTTTGAATGTTTTGAGAAGTTGATGGGTTTTTAAATGATTTTGTCTTATATATAGTATCAGACAAAAAGAGGTTCGTGTTTCTCATATCTGGATTTCTGAAAATTTCAGGTTACTAACTGTAGTCTTTGTTCAGTTGTTAAGCTTTCATCAAACTATCTTTAATTCTAGCGAAGACATAACTAATTAAATATCAATTATTTTATTTTTATGAAATATAAAGATAACTATCTTGCAATGGTTTAAACTTATTTCTGTGTCTGTAGACATTGGAAGTCAAATGATAATTTACAGACACATATTCTGAATAATCTGAGAATATTTGATCTTGTCTCAAGGGTAATTATGATGCGATGTTTGTTTGTTCTCATATATGACTATTTGCTTAGTGATCGATGAAAATGATCTATTTAAGTATGATCATAAAATTCTATTATTTGAGCTTTGATTAAAGCAAAGTTTTACTCTTCAGTTAACTACCACATAAATTAAGCATATCTCATTTTTACAAAGATTCTTATGAACGAATTTCTTTTTAATTTAATTTATTGAATCGATTTTCTTAGTAATAATTATACAATCAACAAAATTAGAAATATTAAGAAGAACTCAACAAAAGATTCTTATTATTAAGTTTTTGTAACGTATCTTAAGAGAATGCAGTTTCAGATAAGACAAAGTCGCTATACATGATGTCATTTGATCTATAATATGCATTTTAGTTCTATAAGCAACCAAAGTAATTAATTTCTGTCGTATCTGTAAACAACATTGCTTCTTTGGGACTGTTACCAAACTAACTTCTCATGACAGTGTTACAGCTCAATAACGACTACATGTTTCTACCGTTATCATCAAAATTAAACTATTATAAATTGCTGACAAAATCACGTGCAACATAAATTCTATTAGTTGGATTTGATTCTCAGCGATAAATCTTGATATAACTAATTGTGTGAATGTTAAATTCTGTATCCAACTGAATAGAGCAATCCGCTGATACTCATGTAGTGATGTTACTTCAGTATCGATAATTGTCTTGCTCAGAATAACATTAGTAAATTACAAGTGGCTATGTCGATTATTTTGATTTGCTCTATACGAAGTTTTGCTCGCTGAAATAACATAGGTAGTAAACGATTCACTATGTTGGTTTCATCGGAAATCCCATACTCTAATACTATAAATTGTTATGTAACCTTACTTCAAAACCTAAATGAGTTAAACTAATTCTATCCATGTTGATGTATTCAAAGATAAATCATATTTAGATGAACTCTGAATGTGTTACATGAAGTATATCGGCGATCAATCAAATGTTGATCTTTACACATGAAACCATCGAAATATTTCCTAAATACACATTGATTAGTGCTACTAATACATGTGATAAAACGATCACTTTATGCATTACTAACTTAATTCATAATAATATGATTCTTACAATGTTAGTGATATGATTTGCTCAACTGATTAAATTGCTTTCATAAATAAGATTATTTGTTTGATAGAAAGCTCTAATCAAAAACATATGACAGTATGATATCCGCTTAATACAGACAGAGACATATTTTATTGAAGACTTTTCAAACGAACTATGCACAACCTTCAATAATCGTATAGACAAATAAATGTCGTGTCTCAATTATTCAAACGTGAATGATATATCTTTAAGTGGATATCATAACTAATCAGAAATATGAGAATTATGTTTTTGAAATATAGTTACTATATATTGTAAAACTGAAAGAAATAATAGAACCTGAGCGAATCAATGGAAGAAAAAACAAATTTTCTAAAAATTCACATCTTTGTGAAATCAATTCCTATGATCATTAATATTGAGCAATAATAATATCAATAAAAATCTATATAAAATGTAAAGTTCTCTTAAAACAAAAAAAAAATTAGCGTACCCGTCGTATCAATTAAATACATGGATAGAACTTATGATAATTGATCTGCAATAGACAGTACTTTGAATGTGATTGACAGTATTTCGAACAAATTAAGAATTATTATGAAAAATAAAGTGTCATGTACGTAAAATTTTTCGATACCTTCAACCTATTCGTCGCACATATGGTTTTCACATTCTCTTCTCTTTCAAGATGACTATTTGCTGTTTGCTAAATGCCATATAATAAATTAACGATCGCATGATTATTTTAATGGTTGACAATTCTGGAAACTTCTTACCTATATTTTATTAAGTACTTGCTTCGATCATGAGGAAAGTGATATTTTTAAAATTATTTTTTGTAAATTGAATATACAGATGTGATATAGTGAATATTTCTTAAATGTAAACAATCCTTTTGCTTGAATAAAATCTTAGTTCAATGACCATATATTTATTCACAATATGAACACTGCTTGTATAATATTGTTTTTTTCTTCTAACCAATTTCATGAGTACTTCTAACCTATTGTTTTTTTTTTATCTAGGTTAATAACTGTAAAAAGAAATTTGTAAACATAATGTGAATGTATGATGAATATTATTTGAAAGAGTTTCTATGAAAACGAAGTAAATAATTGTTTCAAATAAAAATGTACTTCTCGAACCATTAAAATTATATATGATATCATACATTTTAGATTGTTTTTTTTTTCTACCACCCATTGTAGAAATAATTCAATTCAAAACACTTGTCGATCAAGTAACAACATTCAATAAAAGTTGAAAATGTTTAGCAACCGCTAAAACAATGCACACGGATTGAAATAACAAAGAGTATTTTTTGTACGTTTTTTATGGTGTTCGTATAGTGTGATTTATTGTTCATTATTTTATTGTGTAACATTCTTAATCAAAATAAGAGCAATGAAAAGAATATCCTTTTTTAACTTACTTGTTGCTCTATATTTTCATTATTAAAAATAGCATGAAAGTAAAATTCACATAGTTTACGAAAAAAAAAGAATCCAAAGGACAAAATAAGAACATGCGAAAAAACAAAAGAAAAATTGTTCTTGATCAAGGACGAGTGAAAATTTTTTTTCTATATAAACCCATTCGAAAACGTTCATTTTAGAGAGAAGCAATACTTGGTGTAAAAAATAATAAATTTGATCAAAAACTAAAACAGGTAAGCAAAATAGATCATTATCTATTTCTATTTGTTTCTTAACTATTAAATTTTGTTTTTCAAATAAAAATGAATACATTGCTCTTGTTTGAATATCTTAATTAAACAAATTTAATATCAATGATTTTAAAAATTTAAAATAGTAAATATATTTTATTATTTTGTAGAATGTCTGAAGTACAAAATAATATTAACAATCAAGAATCATTAAAGATGAAAATAAATATTCGTATAACTGAAAATTTTATTATCGTTTGGTTAGATTTGAAAGGTAATGAATTGGATGAAAGTTTAATGAATCAACTTCGAAAAATGATTAATTCAATTAATGTATTTTCTGATACAGTACAATGTCTTAATTATCTTTCTCAAATTCAACATGAACAAATATTTATGATAGTATCAAATTTTTTTGATCGTAAATTTTTTTCTAATATAGAAGAAATTTCACAAATTAATTCAATTTATGTATTATATGATAAAAAAATTGATTATCAAGAATATCAAAAACTAAAAGTTTTTAATAAAATGGAACTTATTTGTAATGAACTTAAACGTGATATTTATTTATGTCAACGTAGTTTAACTCCAATTAGTATTATAAATTCAAATTCAATAACGAATTTAAATGAATTAGATGAAACATTTATATGTTCACAGTTAATTAAAGATATTTCAATTAATATGAATTATAATGAAAATGCAAAAAAAGAACTGGTAGAATATTGTCGTGCACAATATGCTGATAATCGATATCAATTACATATTATTAATGAATTTGAACGTGATTATAATCGTCAATCATCTATTTGGTGGTATACACGAAATTGTTTTACTTATTCTATGATAAATAGAGCTTTAAAACTACAAGATACAGAACTAATTATTAGAATGGGATTTTTCATACGAGATCTTTATGAACAAATTGAAGAGATCTATTCAAAAATAGGTAAACAACATTCATTAACTGTTTATCGTGGTCAAGGTATGTTAAATGTCGATTTTGAAAAATTACTGAAAAATAAAAATGGACTTATATCATTTAATAATTTTTTTTCTGCAAGTACTGATCGACAACTATCATTAAATTTTGCTAAACAATCTCTAAATAATGCAAATTTAACATCTGTTCTATTTCAAATGCATATTAATCCATTGATTGCATCAAGTCCATTTATTTCATTAGATAAAATAAGTTATCATGCTAATCATAAAAATGGTATTCTTTTTCCTATGCATACGATATTTCGAATAAATGCAATCAAACAAATTGAAAATCATTTATGGCAAATTAATTTAACATTAACAAATAATAAAGATGAACAAATTACACGTCTTACTGAATTTACACGTCAAGCTACTGATGGAGAAACTGGTATGCATCGTATGGCTAAATTAATGCTTGCTATGGGCAAAATTGATAAAGCAAAAGAGATTTATTTAGCATTACTTAAAACAACAAAAGATGATGATAAAAAAGAACTTGCTCATTTACATCATCAACTTGCATATATTTATGAACAAAAAGATGATTCAACAAATGCACTTTCACATTATGATCAATCACTTAATAATTATTTAACTTATTTACCAATCAGTGATCCAATACTTTGTTCAACATATTCAAATATTGGATTAATTCTTAAAAAACGAGGAAATTATAATAGTGCTTTAGAATTTCTTCAACATGCTCTTGATATTGATCTTATTGCACCAAAACCTGATCAACTTGAAATTGCTATTCTATATATTAATATTGGTGGTGTATATGATGCACAAGGAAAATTTACAGAAGCTTTAGAAAATTATGAAAATGCACTTGAAATTGTACGTAAACATCTTCCACCTTGTCATCCATTAATAGGAGCTACTCATAATAATATTGGATTAGTATATTCTTCAATGAAAGATTATTCAAATGCATTAATACATTTTAAAGAAACACTTCAAATTGAACAAAAAACACTTCCACGTGATGATCCATCATTAATTATGACATATACAAATATAGCTGGAATATTTGAAGATCTTCATCAATATAAAGAAGCTATTCAACATGCTGAAAAAGCTGCTAATATTTTACTTAATACATTTGATACTAATCATCCACAGATTACTTTAATACAAGAATATTTGGAACACTTACGACAGAAACAATAAATGAATTTTGTTTTTATTTTTATTAATGTTTTGTATTTTATTTGATCTAAATAATAATAAAAAAGATTTTTGTTTTTTATTTGAATTTAGTTCAGTTGATTAAAAGAAACATAAGAAAATATTCCGAAATTATGGATAAAATCTAAAGAAAAAACAAACTATCGACATAATTTATTATAATACGAAAGTCTTCACACAAAATGTTTTCGACTACTTAAAAACAATTATTTAGAATCATAATCAGAATTTTTCGAATACGTGTTCAGAATTTTAGAATAAGACTCAACAAATATGATCAAATTGTTTTCAAATAGTTGTTGTACAAAATACTACGAGAGTTGTTCAAAAAGTTTCGAGATTAGTTTTATTTAAAGGCAACAAAAAGCGTTGTTATATTAAAATTGTTGTTTGTGTTTAGTTCATACAGTTGTCGATCTATAGACTTGATGAGATCTGATCGATGAAGCATTTATGTCCAGGTATAGCAATATTTTTCACATTGATAAAAAATTTTAAAATTTGAGCAACTTTTAATGATTAAGTTTTTAGCATATTCACACTCAGCTCCCATCCAATATTCATGAATACATGATGACAGTTTATGTTAATCGACGCTCCATCGCACACTATAGTTTCTGAATGGAGTTACAGTTTTAAAGATGGGCAATCAAGTATAGACAATAATCATTGATGTGGACGATACGAATATTAAACAGGTAGAAGCTTAGTTATTGAAAAGCTTCAAATCACAATTCAGCAAATAAAAGACAATTTTAGCATTTCAAATCTATAGTGTATGCGCATTTTATATGATCAATTACATATGACTAAAATCTGTTCAAGATGAATGTCAAATACAAAACTATACAGGGTGAAAATTCACCATCCAATAAACAAAATTTTTGTTCATATTCATGCTTTTCTATCAGTATATATGAGATGGTTTGAAACGTATGGATATATCTGTACATAAATGCTTAATCGATCAGATCTTATCAAGTCTATAGATCGAGGACTGTATGAACTACACATAGACAATAAGACGAATGCAGTAACACTTCTTGCTGATTTAAAATAAAAATCGATCGTGGAATTTTCTGAATGACATTCTTATTTTAGTCAATTTTGTATTTCGATTAAAATCTATTAAATTGAAAATACAAAACAGTCTGTAAAGCTTTTGTATTTTTCAAATGGCGATTTTTTTGATCAATATCGATTCTTATAGAAATTAAGCCCTTTCGTGAAAACACATTAATGAGATTTTGCTTATTGTAATATCTAATTCAGTACTATAAAACAATGTTGAATTAAAGTTATTCCAAAACAAAACTAAGGACTATTTTTCGCGTATTTAAATGTATTGGTTACGTATTAGAATCAAAATTTTGTGCTCTTTTAGAACATATACTTACAATTTCTTTGTCACTTTTGAGTATTGAACTACCAATAGATCTTGACAGGGCTCAAAAGAGTTTTATTTTTCTGGAGACATCAAATAAGTTCTTAAATATACATATATATAGTAGACTTGAGAATGATTATTTACTCTACAAAATGACGCAAGGTCATTTTGCAATGAAAAGACAAAAATCGGCAAAATAACTATTCATCTTGCAATAGACTTGATAGAAAGTTTTTACTGCACTTAAACAATTTGCAAAAAATCTCCCGCTTTGTAGAAAATTATTTCATGTATCTTTCAATGTATTCGATAAAAATTTTGAATCTATCCAAGATTTACTTTATAGCTCAATAGTCAAAAGTCACAGAAAAATTCTAAGCATATCTTCGGAAAGAGGATTAAATTCTGATTCTAATACTCGACAAATAGTCATATATTTTGTCTAGAAACTTTTGATTCACCCGTTAGATAAGACACCAGTCATAGAGCAAGAACTAATAGAGATTACCACAACAATACTGAATATATTTTCAGTCCAGCTGGAGTATCTCCGGAACTAATGTATATCAAATCAATGCTCTTCTCTTTATATAATTTTAACAAAAAGTTAAATCTTAAGACTATCTGTTACAATATAATTATTCATGTTGTTTATGATAATTTTCGAAATGAAAGTTTTAAATACAGTCTATGGTTCTCATTGTCATCCGTTTCTGAAAAGTGCGGCTAACAAAACGTTATTTACTTGATGTCTTCTATTAAAACACGTGATTTTTAAACAACTGTTAAGATTGAAACTGACGATTTAAAATGTTTGTTTTTTTTTTTTTTTGGTTAACCATATGTATTTCCCGTTCTTTTTCGAATCAATTTCTTTCGTCCGCTGACTATAGGTTCGAAATAGTATTGCTCTACTATTTTCTTTCTTCTGTTCTCTTTTAATTCCAGGCATGATATAGACAACTCTGGCTATCTAGACGACACAACAATGTACATAAGTAACGTCTACTTACTCTCTTAGCTTTTTTTTCGTTATTGTCTGTCCATCCGAAATATCAGCAACGAAATGGACGGGAGAAATCATTATAAAATGTCGAGAAAACGTGTCGAACCCCTTTTCTCTCTTTTTCTTGTCTCACTATTTATTAAGCTCTTTTTTTCGACGACGTAATTATTAGTCGAACTTTCTCTTTTTCTTTTAACTTTTAACCTATTTGTGTGTGTGTGTGTGAGTGTATTAACTAAACAACAACAATGATCTCAAAAGAAAATGTATGTGTAACATGTTGTGTTTTTCTTTTCATTAATAAATTTATTAAAATTATTTATTTTCAATTAGACTTTTACAATAGGAGGAAATTATCCATTAATTGATCGTTCATTTAATACATCGATTGCATTAGGTAATTTACTTGATGATCCTTTACCAAATAATAATAATAATAACAATGATTATGAACAACAACAACAGCAACGATCAATGATAATGATGAACGGAACATCAAATTTACCACAATGGTCAATGCCACAAATAAATTTTGCATCAACGCCTATTCTCAGGTAAATTCTACTAAATATAATTATTTAAATTAAGTATTTTTTTTTTAGTATGTGTTCGGATGAAAAATTTCTTCAATTCTTAATGAGTAAAGATTTTACAGCACGTTATGCTGGTGATGATGATCAATATGAAGATGATCATTATTTACAAGAAAGACATCAAAATATTCCTCCAACATCTTTAATAGAACAAATGGTTTGATGTTTTAGTTTTTGATTGATTTTAATTTACATGTAACGTTTTTGTTTTAGCAATGTATTACAATTGATAATGATGATAATCGATTAAAATTAGCAGCTGCAAATGAACGTCGACAAGCTACTCGTAAGAATTTAAAGAAAAATACTTTGTTGTTTATATTGTATTGTTTAGGTCATTTTGGTAAAGTTAGTCAAAATATGTGTTGGTGTGCACCATTACCTGTTAAACCACGTGCTTATTCAATTAATCCTCCTTCACTTTCAAATAAAATTTTTCTCGGTGGTATTCCGCATGATCTTAATGAACGTAAGAATAAACTATATCAATTAGTATTTTTTTAATCGGAAATGTTTATTTGTTTTCTTTTTAAGGTGAATTAGCAACTCGTCTTAGTCAATTTGGCCCTGTTCGTATCGAATGGCCAGCTGAAAATAATCGAACACGCCGCCGAACTAATCATGGTTTATTTTATTGTAATAAAAATTTTATTTGTTTTTTTTTTTTTTGTTTCTTTATTTCAGGCAAATCTGGATATGCTTATGCTATATTTGATAAAGAATCGTCTGTACATGAATTACTTTTAGCTTGTTGTCAACAACCACAACGTAATTCTGATGGTCGTTGTGAATATTATCTTAATCTCAATAGTCAACGATCGGCTTCAAAACGTAAAAGTGTAAGATAATTTTTCAATCAGATTAGATTAAAAAGATACTGTGTAGATTAGAGATTTACGAGATCAAATTTTGGAAGTTTACCTAGGCTAGGTGAAAGAGAAATTGCTGGGACCAGAGTTGGAACCAAAGCCTATAGTTCAGTATTCTATGATTTTAAGCAAATTATCTTTTAAGTCTTCAATCAGAGCACAATTCAAAAGAGGTGACCCAAAAAACTGCTAGTTGTTAACTAAATAAATAAAAAAAACCTATTGAAGAATCGTTTTGGAATAGTTTTTTTCTGGAGTGGAAACGAGGCTCGCAATACTAATATCATGGAGGCCGGTAACACTAGAAAAAGAAACTATCAGGACCCAGATTAGACTAGATTTACCGGGACCGGTAAAAAAAAGTTATTTGGACCGAAACTCATACATTTCCAATGTAGACATTAGTGAAATCAGTCGCTTTTTAAAGGTAGAATTTGTAATCAAACATGTTGACATTCAATGTCGATAATTTTTTTCTTTATTTTAGATTCAGCTTATACCATGGTTTGTAAGTATTGAAATGATTACATTGAAATGCAATAGATTTTCTTTTTTTTTTTTAATTGAGACGGAAGATGCACAATGGATGTCATCGAATCGACATGATGCAGCAATGTGTGAACTACTCAAAGATGATCCATATAAGACGACTGTCTTTGTTGGAGCTTTGCATGGTATATGATAAAATTTATTATTAAAAATAAAAGATAAGCTAAGTTTTTTTTAAATGTGTTTTGATAATTTTAGGTATGATGACCGCATATGCACTTGCTCGAATTTTTTCTAAATTATTTGGTGAAGTTGATTTTGCGGCTATTGATACTGATCGTAATAAATATCCGATTGGTAAACTTAGGATTATAAGTTTTTGATTGAATTAAATGTTTTTTTGTTGTTGTTATACAGGTTCTGGTCGAGTCATTTTTACTAGTATTCACAGTTATTTCAGTGCTATGACGGTTGGTTTTTCTTTTAAAAAAAGAAAACAAAATAATGAATATTTGGTTTTGTTTTTCATAGGCTAATTATGTATTTATTGATTGTGAACGATTTTCCAAAGTGGTAAGAATTATATATTTTGTTTCTTGGGAAGATAGTCAGAGAAGTTTTAATCTTTCATAAATGAC